ATATATATGGACTTTGATTGATATTAAATCAATGGTTATTTGACTCTTTATAAATATAAAAAATGTATATTGATAAGCATTCTATTTTCTTTCAAATAAATAGTAGTGAAATTCATGAAAATTCAAAAAAAATTCAAAAAAAATTCAAAAAAAATTCATGAAAATATTATTCCATGTGTTAGTTATATTGTTTTTTTTTTTGACATATATCTCATAATCTAAAATAGTAATTATGACCAAAATTAACAAACCACTGTATTGTTTCAAGTCTCCTTCAATTTGCTTTGTTTTTGATTAAAACTATGGACTTATTTGCAAACTATTTATAATTATTTGAGAATTTTTATTTAAATTGTTACCAATATTTGAAAAAATTGTGTTAAATGAAATAGAAAAATCACTATCTTATTAACTACAATATTTCAGCAAAAAAAAAGCTTCTGGTGTTGTTTCTAGGGCTCAAACAATTAGAAGAGTTTTACAAAAACACAATTACATGTGGCAAGCTGCTTGCAAAAAAGCCTCATCTGTTGATAAAACATTAGAAAACAAGAAAAAACTGGTGTTTAGCTCATATAACTTGGTCTATGAGCATGTGGCACAACAATCTTTTCAGAGGTGAAATAAACGTTGAAGTTGATTTAAGAAAAAACAAGCAAAGCTGAAAAGAAAGCCACATTACAAAATAGACCTAAATTGCTTTACGAATAGAACAAAACATGGTAGTAGTAGTAGTAGTAGTAGTAGTAGTAGTAGTAGTAGTAGTAGTAGTAGTAGTAGTAGTAGTAGTAGTAGTAGTAGTAGTAGTAGTAGTAGTAGAAGTAGTAGTAGTAGTATAGGCATCTGGGCCTGTAAGAACTATGAAGGTGTTGGTCGTTTCAAAATATTTGGTGGAAGGCTTGATTCTCTGAGATATTTAGACATATTGGATAGTTATTTGATGCCTTCTATTGACATTTTCCAAAAAGACATGGGAATCTTTCCACAAGATAATGCTACATGCTGGTAAGATTTGCAAGCAATTTTTTGAAGAAAAGAACATTAAAACCATTTCTTATCTTGCCAATAGTCCTGATCTCAATTACATAGAGAATTTATGGTCTGGGAAATATACAATCTGAGCCGACAGAAAAAAATTGAAACAAAATTATAAATATAGTGATCCAAAAGAGATTACTCAGAATTTAGTGAACTCCATGCCGAATCATACAAATGAATGCTTAAAAACAAAATGATTATCAACAAAATATTAATTCTTTTTTTTTTATGTATTATTTTATTAAGGTTTGTCAATTTTGTTTTTGTGGTTAGTTTATTTTGGTTTTTAGTGTTCATTTTTATCAAAAATATTTTTTTGATAAAATTGAACACTTGTTTTGATATCAATATTTTAGTTTTTAATTATTTTAATTGTTATTACTTTATAACAAATTTATATTGTGGTTATTTGATTTATTTCAATAAAAAAAAAAACTTAGGAAATAATCACTTTTATTTTATAAAATATTTAATATCAAACTTATATTCATACTAAAATAACATGATGGATTGTTATTAATGGCCAAAACTGTATATATATATATATATATATATATATATATATATATATATATATATATATATATATATATATATATATATATATATATATATATATATATATATATATATATATATATATATATATATATATTTATTAAGTAAAACTTTTAATTCAAAAAAAAATGGGGAGGGGAGGGGGTTCAACAGCTTACTTTTTAGGGGTATGGAGGACATTAAGGTATGCATGGCAATTTTTGTCAAACTTTATAGATCACCTTTTACAGTTATAAACTTGAACCTTTTTCAATCTTGTCATATATATTTATAACAAAAAAATTAATACTGCAAAAACGATTCTTAATTCTTAAAATAAAATTGAAGTTTTTACTTACTACAGTCAATTTTTTTTCTTTTTAGCTCCACAACAGCACCTTCTATAGTAGCAGGACAGACTTAATAATTATTTTTACTTAAGTTTCATACATTTTTTTTCAGACTATCCGCAGTTTATTAGGACTAAATATCTGAGCACATTAATAACATATCTCTATCATAAAATAGATATTATGTATACAATATCTATATATCATAACATATAGATGTTATATATGCAATATCTATATATCATAACATATAGATGTTATATATACAATATCTATATATCATAACATATATATGTTATATATACAATATCTATATATCATAATATATAGATGTTATATATACAATATCTATATATCATAACATATAGATGTTATATATACAATATCTATATATCATAACATATAGATGTTATGATATGTAGATATTGTATATATAACATATATATTCATTATGATATATATATATATATGCTATATATACAATATCTATATATCATAACATCTATATGTTATGATATATAGATACAATTAAAATCTTTTAAATTTTTATTGGAATGTCAAAAAATTGATATCAATTCTAAAAACAAATGATTTCTAAAAACAAAATTTTTACTAAATCTAAGCAATATAATCTTAAAAGTTCAATTTATTGAAATATGCGCGTGCAAAAGTATCCGGGCAAAACTAAAATAATAAAATTGTAATACTTTTATTGGCTTTTATTTAATGTTTAAAAACGGTAAACAAAGGATAAAGTATTTTTACTTAAAAAGAAGATTGTTTTGAATAAATTTTAAAAATGACAAAGCGAAAATATACAAGTTTAGCTGTCAAAGAAGTGGTATTGAACAAGACAAAACTACAAGAGACATAGCGGATCAGTTTGATATAGGAAAATCAACAGTAGCAGATGTATATAAAAGATATAAGAAAAGAAATAACAATAGAATCTCTCCAAAGTCAGGAAGGTCTCGAATTACACCTGAAAGACAAGATAAAATTTTAGTTTGTGCCGCAAAAAATGGTCTACGCAAAAATGCTGTCTTGTTAAATGCTGAAATAAAAGAATTTAATAATGTAAAATGTAGTGTTGACACAACCAAGTGTCGTTTGAGGTCTGCAAATCTATTTGGAAGATGTCCTGCAAAGAAACCTTTTATTTCCATGAAGAATCGAAAAGCATGCTTAAAATTTGCTTAGGAACATTTGAATTGGTCAAGAGAACAATGGCCGAAAGTACTTTTTAGTCATGAATCTAAGTTTATGTTATTTGGATCTGATGGTATTAGAAATGTTCATTGACCAAAAAGTCATAGAAACAATCCTAAATACCAGCTACCAACAGTAAAGCACGGGGGTGGAAATGTTATGGTCTGGGGTTACTTCAATCGAGATTGCTCCATTTAACTAGTTTTTATCAATGAACTCAATTGATTTTATCCATGATTAAATTAACTTCATTTTCATCATTGTTTTTAAGTTTTCTTATTTTTCAATTATTATGTTTATATTTTCCCCTTAATATTATTTGTTTATAACTGTGATAGGTAAGTTAGAAAATTTGATTTTTATTAAAACATAATTTGTTCCTGGAGCTTCAAAAATGTTAAAATCCTTATTATATTTTTTAATGTAGTCTGTAATGTAGTAAAACTTCATTGATAAAAAAATTCTTGAAATTTTAGGTTTAACAATCTATTATTTATTTTTTTAATTCTTGAATATAGAATTTTCTTTAAAATTAGTATTTCCGGTACATTGAATTTTTTTCATAAGTACTCCATCTCTCATAACTTTTGAAGTTTTTAAACCAGCAATAAACAGAAATTTTGTAACTTTCAAAGTCAAAGTTTTTTTAAAACATCCCTTTTTTTTGATAATTCTTTAATACTTTCTAAAAAATACACAGATTTAACTTACTTGTGGATTAGGCTCAGCAAGTTGAAGGAATTCTCCTGGTAGCGGTCCGAATAAAATACCTCCATTTTGAATAACAATTGTATTGCTTATAACATCCTGACCTCTAACATTATCAATTACAAGCTGCAACATTTCTTTATCACCCCCTCCAGAAAACCACTCCACTCTCCATTGGTAATAAGTACAATTACTATAACTACTAATTATAAAAACTGCATTAGTTATACTGTCTTCAAGTGTTTTTTTTAAAGTAATTGCATCTACACTGAGAAGAATGTCTGAAAAACAATATAACAAATAAATAGAACAAAAAAAGTTAATATCCGTATAATTAAGAAATATAATAAATAAAATAATTATAATAACTTATATTAACTTATAATTATTTTATATATTAAGTTTGTTAATTAGTAACAACTAGTGAATAAAATAAAACTCAATAAAACTAAAAAAAAATAAAAACAAAATAAAAAAAAATAAAAAATAAACAAAATTAATAAATACATTAATAAATAAATAACAGGTTACTATTAGTTAAAGTAGTTGTTCCATCATTTAGCACATGGGAAATCTGTTCCAGAAAGTGGTGGAAAAGAGCTTTGATATTTATATACTAAACTGGTTTTCCATCACTAACTGCTTCAAAAGTATATGGGTTGTTACCACACAAATTAATATACATAGAAATATTCCAGTTCTCTCCGTATGTACCTGAAGTAGTTTTACTACCTTTATCATATCAACCCACGTGCCTGGTGCGCTACTAAGAATGTTGACTAAATAAAAGTTCATAAAATTACTTATTTTAATTTACTAAAGTTGGATCAACATACATAAAATAGCGAAAAAAAAATTTAATTTACTATTCAAAAAAAAAACATTTAGATAACAAAATCAAATAAAGTTTATTTTATCAACTTTTTTAATATTAGGCTAACCAACTTTGCTAAAAATGTAAAACTTTACTTACTATCTCTTCTGATGTTTGATAACCATATTTCATCCACATAAATTTGGCTTAAAGAATACCTAGAAGGATCACGAACAAGTTGCAAAGATATAATATTTATAGGAAGTTTGTATATACTTTCAGTTGTTATTGTATCCATTAAATTTATACAAACCATTCGATTATCATCAATAAAAGGGTAGTTTTTTGTCACACTGTCTGTTGAGCCATCAGTTTTTTTATAAGAGAACTGTATATTAATTGTGTTTGAAAATGCACCAAAGATAAAAAAGCATAGCTGTAAAACAAAATAAGCAGAGGTTATAAATATTTTACCGTTGCCTCCCATTTTTATTTTTCATTTTTTCATACATATTTGTCTTTTTAATTAATTTGTGAATAAAAAATTAAAAAAATTTAAAACAATAAAAATAGTTTTATTTAAAAACATATTAACAAAAATTTAATGAAGTAAATATTAATAACAAATCATTATTAAATCTCTTATAGACTAAAATTAACTGAAAATTTGAATACAGTTTCAACAGATATGTATTGTATATGGGTATGTACTAATAAATGGTATTTTTATATTCAATGAAAATGTTACAAATTTAACAAGAAAAAAATTAAACTAAATTAACAAGCTTCATGTTAGCAATAAACTTTTAGAGCATATTTTAGTACTTTTTATACTTACATATTTATATATGGAAATATCAAAGGATGACTTTTTTGTAGTGTCATTAGCAACAGTTTGATCAGCATAAAATATTATCAGGTCATTTGAAAGTTGAAGCATGCGACGACCACAAAAAGGACGTTGATTTTCTATTCGAACACCATACTCTTTGCCTCCGGCTCTTAAATCAAATTCATAACCCTCAGAGTAAAACACATTTGCTCCTAAAAAACCGTTACAAGAATAATTTTTCAATAAACACTACATAATATTTAAACCATGCAACTATAATCATAAAAACAATTTTTTTCTTGATATCAATCTTGTTAAAACTGTAAATATAAATATGTATTTATTTAATATTACAAACAAGTTATTTATCAATATTATCATTAATATATTTATTATTTATTTTAGTGTTTATTATTCTGATTATTGTATATTATTTAACTACTTATAACTTACAGAGTCAAAACATTATTTTTAAATTTTCCAAAAAAACAATTTATAAAAACAGTTTTTTATATTTTTTAGATAACTACTACAAAATATTACAAAATATTATAAAACGTAAAAAAAACAACTTTAAAAAATTTTAAAAAAGTTTAGTGATTTTAGTTCATTATTATAATATACACTATTGATTATTTGTCATTTATTTCAATGTTTTAATGTTAACTATTTTAATATTAAATATTAATTAAACTCATACTTTTGTATCAATTAAAATTTTGCACTCAGCATGCACCTGTCTCTGCCTAAATTTCTACAGTTTATCTAAAACAAATATAGTAGAGACTGTTGCAACCTCTTATCTCAGCACGTAACAGCCCAACTTACCACTTATCAGAATGTATCACACATTTTAACTCTAACCTTCAACTCTAAAATACAACCTCAAGGAACAAGGTCACTGCATGGAGAAACAAGTTGAGCAAAATGCTATCAGGGACAAAGGAGGAATAGGATTCAAGAACAGAACTTTTGCCAACAAAACATCAAATAACCTAAATAAATAAATCTTACAAAAACGCCACTACTACACCACTACTACACCACAACTAAGAAAATAAATTTTGAACTAATAGAACAAATTATTTGTCAAGATATTAACAAAAAACATTTTAGCTGTTTTGTCTCTGCAATTCATTTGCCTTCATTTTTAGACGTAATAATAGGCTTATGATTCTGTATAGTTTAATCATTTTTTTTTTTAGTTATAAAAATACCTGGTTGATTAATGAATGCATGTGTTTATCATAGAGTTATTTTAAATAATTTAATTTAATTTTATGGCATCATTGGAGATATTTGACAAAATGAAAAATTTTAGTTATAGTCATCAACAACTTTTAAGCTTTTCTTGAAAATATCTTTTAGTAAAAAATACATACATAAATTTTGTTTTCACCAGCAATTAATCATTTAAAATGTATTATTTTTCAATAAAATCAAAAATAAAATATTACTTTTGGTTTTTAGATGTTATTGAAAGTTTAAATAATTATATAAATTATAGAAAAAATAAAAATTATTTTTAAAATTTCACTTTTCACAAGTTCAAATCATTTTTCTTCTTAGCAAATTACTGCTAAAAAGTAAATTAGTGGAAGAAAAAGTTACTAATTATAATTTTTTATAATTAGCAATTTCTAATTATCTAATTTATAAACCTAATAAAATCTAACAAAAGAAAAAACCTAAAAATTAAAATATAGTTTAACTTTTACCGTTATTATTTTTTTGAGTTCATAATGATATTAATCAGATCAAAATCAATAAACCAGAAACTTCCTTCACAAAAAACATGTCTAAAATGATAAATTTTTTATCATTTTTACAAGGTGGGCATAAAAGCAAATGTGGGTGTGTGTGGCAGTTTTTATATCATCAGTTTGGACTATTTATCTCTAAACAGCATATTAGGGAATTATAGATTTTTTTTTTTCGTTGGAAAAAACTCTTAATGTATATATATATGTAATATCATATATGATATTTTTATATATATCTTAATATTTAAAATTCTTTTATTTGACACTTTACAATCAAGAAAAAACTATTAAAAAATATAAGTAAAAGTAAAGAAAAAAAAATACACATACCAGAGGTTGATACAAACAAACAATTTTCAGAAAAGATATCTGTTTTTAATGTGTTTTCAATATCTGTGACAGAACTATTAACTGAAAATAAACGTGTGCTGCGACCACCATATGATAATTAAATTTGACTGGTTACATTCAAGTTGCTAACATCAATTATCTAAAATTCAACAAATCATTTACTAAAATAAAACTAAAAAAAAAATTGTTTAGTAAAAAAATAAACAAAAACTAAATGACAAACTATATTTTTCTTTAATATATCTACAGTATTTATATAAATTTACATAAAAGTAAGTTTTGTGTTTTCATTTTTTTAATGTAATGATAAAACAAACTTATCTAGTAACAATAAACATACACAAGTAACTAACATTACACAAGTAAGCAAGTAATAACAAGCAATACTTCTTTACCTGGATTTCAGGTTTGTAAACAGAATATATTGTTATATTTTGAACTTCATTAAATACTTTATCAAAATCAGCATTTCTCAGGTTGGTTTTATAACCTAATAACCCAATCTCTAACTGATATTCTCCGCCACCATCTGCTAAGTAAGCTTTGAAAAAATATTCCCGATCTCGTCTCATATACATTTTTCTGGATTTTTGTTCTGCATATGTAAAGAAACTTGTCTGTGTCCAATAAGTGCTTCCACAAACTTTAACCTTAAAATTTAAAATAACAAATAAATAATTTGAATTGTTAAACAATTGCATTTAATTAACTTTTGTAATATTTTAAAATATAATACTTTACAGAACATAAGAATTTGACAAAAACAATTTTTTATGGATTTAAATATAAAGTATGGACAAAAAAAGTTTAAACTTAGTGTTTTTGTATTAGATAGAACACATTTAGGGGGTGAGAGCAGATTATTCTTAAAAAAGTTGTTTTTTGGGACACCCTAATATATATACATACATGTATATACATATATACAAATATTTATAAATATATATAAGTACATATATATATATATATATATATATGTATACATATATATATGTACATATATATATGTATGCATATATATATGTACATATGTACACATATATATATATGTACATATATATATATATATATATATATATATATATATATATATATATATATATATATATATATATATATATATATACATACATATATATGTACATATATATATATATGTACATATATATATATATACATACATACATATATATGTACATATATATATATATATATATATATATATATATATATATATATATATATATATATATATGTATGTATGTATGTATGTATCTATGTAACATAGATACATACATACATACATACATACATACATACATACATACATACATACATACATACATACATACATACATACATACATACATACACACATATATTATGTATGTATGTATGTATGTATGTATGTATGTATGTATGTATGTATGTATGTATGTATGTATGTATGTATGTATGTATGTATGTATGTATGTATGTATGTATGTATGTATGTATGTATGTATGTATATATGTATGTATCTATGTATCTATGTTACAAATCAATGTTAAATGAAGCTTTATAAATTTTGATTTTTTTGTAAAAGTCAATATTTTTTGCAATAATTTTTTCCAAATGTCTTATCATTCAAATCCAAGTCTAACAATATAAAAATCATTAAAATTTTCAATTGATTGATAAAGTTGCGATTTTTCAAAGAATTCATACTAAGTGATAAGTCTGGATTGCTCGTAACAGTTATAATTGACATAAATCAGAAATCCTTTAGAAATTGATATTAAATGACATGTATTTAAATTGAAGTGGTGAAATGTTTGAATTTGCATTCTAGTTGTTGTAGCACTTTGAAAATTTAAATGAATCATGTATTATTTATGATTTTTTAAAAAAAATTCCATGTTTATTGACATCCAAATAGTTAAATTAGATAAAATAAAGCGCTATATCATTTTAGTTTCTAAAAAATTTATAAATTATAAAGCCATATTTACTCTATATCTACTCAACAGAATACATTTCTTTTTTCAATTGGTATGTATATATAAATGTCTTTGTAAAATATTGCTGTTACTTTGTAATATTACTATTATTAAGCTATCTAATTCTTTTTAAATTATTTGCATGCAATTAGGTTCAGTAAAACTAACCAAACTCCATAATTTGAGATATTAAAATGATACAACAAATTGAAGTGTAACTTCTATTGCTCCGTAAATATTTTTTTGGTCACATAATTATTTATTTTGCTCGTAGGTGAGTACATGACATCAACAACGGACATTGCATCAAGAAAACCTCCTGTTTGTCCTATTTTTGGCAATCTGAAACAAATAAGTTGAGCATGCTGTCAACACAAATGGATATGTTTATGGAATACATGTGGGTTCGACATGACTTGAAAATTGAGTAGGGTTTAAAAAAGAACTTACCGTCTCAGAGGTATCGGAAATTCTGGCATCCAAAGTCAACAAAATATGGTATCGGGCAAGTATTCCAACTGTTTCAAAGACTTGTGTTGTGCAAATTATCAATTCTCATTATGAAAACTATTTGAATCCGGTTTGATATTCAAAATCTAAAAAAAATGCCCAATATGAAACCAGAATATCAAGTTTTCAAAAACATAGCCTTTTTGACATTGCGGCTTGCAAACATGCTAAAGGTTCATTTTGTTCTTGCAACTAAGCTAAAAAAGTACCACTGTCAGAGCAACAGTTTCTAGAAGTGACACTGACTTTAAAGTTGTAAACCATGATTAACATTTCAGACTAAGTTCTCAACAACGGAATGAATAAAAAAATGTAGCAAAACCTTCAGATTGAATTGCTCTCTCCGACCAAGCTGTTGCTGAAATTACATCAGGTGTCTTACAAGGTTATGCCATAGTAATGTCAGGTATTGTTCAAATGCAATCGAAAGTATTGGTGTTTTGTTTGTGATGATATTTGTTTTGATGACCATGGCATTTACTTTGATGGTAAGAAAGATAAAACAATAATGAGTGAAAATCTTTATGGGGAATTTCATTGGAGAGTAACAGTAGAAGAATATATCTCTTTTGTTCAAGAACCAGGATCAAGTTATTTAGGCCTGTGACCCCAAGAAAAGACATGGGTAAGAGCATAATTTAAAGTATAATGGCATTTATTTAAGAGAATAACGTAAACACAGAGAACCTTATGGCAGTTGGGTGTGATGGAACAGCTGTGAACACTGGAAAGATTAATGGTGCAATACGCTTCCTTGAAGAGAAACTTGAGCACCCATTGCAATGGCTTGTTTGCATGCTACATGCAAACAAACCATTTGTTTTGATGACCATGGCATTTACTTTGATGGTAAAAAAGATAAAACAATAATTAATGAAAATCTTTATGGGGAATTTAATCACAAAGTTAAAGTAGAAGAAACTCTTTGGCCACCCTGAGAATATGTTGCTAAGTATGATAACTGACAACAGGAGGTATGTACGAGAGCTAGGACTGCAGCAAATAATGCAAGCTTGAGCAAACAAGTAGCTGAAACAACCCAAAAACGGAATCAGGGTATTTCAGGTACCAACTTTCAACATGGATGCTGAAGATTACATAGAACTAATCAACTGGCAATCGGGCACAGTGACCAAGCCACCTGTTACAAAATTTTTGTCTGATAATGAGTTGGAGTCATTTGTTAGCATTGGAGAAATACCTATTTTTGAATTTCCTTGTTTTCCATGCAATATGCAAGCAGTTGAAAGATGCATAAAAAATGTTACCAAAGCTTCAAAAGCAGTCATAGGGCTTGAGATGGTTTCATCTGTTCAATGGAATAATGGCAGAATGGTAATGCCTGTGTTCAACACAAAATAAGAATACTGCACAGGGTGACAAACTAACTTCAAAATTATAAGGCAATATTTTGTAAAACTAAACCTGGTAAACAATGTTGTTTAATTAAATTTTTGTAATTTTTTATCATTTTTCATGCATTCATGGCCTGTAAAATTTGGCATTTTTTTTGAAAAAAATCATAAATTCATAATTTATTTAAATTTTCAAAAAGCTAAAATGGCTAAAATGCAAAATCAGACATTCTTTTTAACACTTTAATTTAAATACATGTCACTAATATCAATTTCCAAAGGATTTCTGAGTTATGTCAATTATAACTGTTTTCGAGCAATCAAGACTTATCACCTAGTATGAACTCTTTCAAAAATCACAACTTTATCAATCCATTGAAAATTTTAATGATTTTTATATTGCTAGACTTGGATTTGAATGATAAGACATCTGGGAAAAAATTAATTTGCACAAAATATCAACTTTTTACAAAAAAATCAAAATTTTACAAAATTAAATTGCCGGTAGATGGCAAAAGATATCATCCAAAATAAAAAAAAATTTTTGCCAAGGCACTTACCCAAGTGACAACATTTGGTAACTATTAGAATTAAAAATAAAAAATTTAGAAAAAAAAAAAATTTTTCACTCCACCCAAATACATACATACATAAATTCATACATACTTACATATTTTTGTCATCACATTTATAAAGATTATTTTTTAAAGATAAAAAAAATGAATTTTGTTTATGTTCTTAATTGAAATAAAATGATATTAAAAGCGTTTGTTTAGTATATAAAGCGCTTAAATTTTTTGAACTGTTTGAGTAATTTATATTTGTCCAACTATTAACTGCACTTAAAATACTGAAATTCAACTGGCACAGCTATTTGGGTAATAAAATTAAAATCTGAAAAAAAAACCATCAATATCTATTGAAAAAAACACTGAGAGCCAGTTATAGAGTTTCCTCTACTCTACAATTAATTGCAAGTTTAATCAAAAATTTTGGATAAGGACATTTAAATGATAAATATAAACTATAGATAAATAATATATTAATATAACAATTTAAACAAATAAATGATAATAAATAAAATATAAAATATTATATTACTTCTGTAAGAAAATTTTATTAAAATAAAAACCTGCAAAAGTTTGATAGTTATAAATATTGTCATTTTGATCAACCAATATAGATGATTTTTCTCGTGTTGAACGACCAGCAGAATTGCTTATGATAAAAGAAGCTTTCCAAGAACCTTAAAGTAAAATTTTATAGATGGTCAGCTGTGATAGTAAAAGATTAGTTACAATATATATATATATATATATATATATATATATATATATATATATATATATATATATATATATATATATATATATATATATATATATATATATATATACATATATAAAACTTTAAAAAGTATTTATTTTAAAATATAAGAAAAAAAAAGTATTTTAAAAAAAAAACATACAAACAAAATATTTTTACAAAAGTTTGCTCTGATAATCATGCAACACAACAAAATGCTTACAGTATGAGGCAATACACTGATATACTAACAGTATTGCAAAATGAAGTTAAATATTTTTATATAAGTTTACAAACTTGTTAGGTTCAAAGACAAATAAATAAATTTAATAAGAAGTATGTTGTTTAATTTTTAATGCTGTCATTAAATGGTTGGCAAAATACTTTTTTAAACATTTTTATTGTTGAAAAAATACTGTTGCATTAAACACCAAACCAAAACTTTTTTTATTTATTAACAATTTAGAAAAAAAATTTTGAATTTCTTTGACAAAATTTTATTTGTTTATTCAATTTCTTAAATTATAAAATAAAAAAATGGATGGTTAATGGATATTAAATGATAAATAAAAAAATGGATATGGTTGTTATGGTTATTGAAAATCAAATCTTTAACTGAATTTATTTTTTGATTTGTTTATAATAATTTATTTTGTGTCACAATACACCATTATTTTTAGCTGCAAGCCTTTAACATTCTGCATCATAACAAAATTTGTTTGTTTTTTCTCTGATTTACAATTAGAGAAAAAACAATCAAATCTCAAATATTCAATCAGCTAAACTTCATCTTTTTACATAGCAGTCAGAAAATCTTTGTGACTTTAAAGTTGTTACAACTGTTATAAATATTTTTACTATGCGTATTTTTTACATAGTTTTCTCATACTTTACATTACAGCTACATGAAAAAGTTTTTTTGCTACAGTTGCATTTTCAATTTTCATTACAACTTAAAAAACAATTTGCTGAAATTTTTTTTCTTTTTGTTTTGTGGTTACTAAGGTGTGGTTACTAAGGTGTGGTTTCTAAGGTGCTCCCAAGAGTATTTAACTAGGAAGTTTATGCCTCCTTACCAATCTCCTCCTTACCAATCTCCTCCTTACCAATCTTGCTTAATGGGCTAAAGCTGACATCAAACCTTGGACCTCTTGGTACTGAGCCAGAACTCTAATTACTGCGCCATGGCTGCACTAACTAAATTTAAATTAGTGAAACTGGTTTTTGTGTTATTATTAGATTTACTAATAATTTCTTTTACATTTACGTTGCTTTACAGTTCAAAACAATGAATATAATTGAATGGTAATAAAAAACAAAAAAACATACAGATCATTAGTATTGGGATCAAATGGTTCACAAATATCACCAACAAACATTCTAAAAATAAACAGAAAAAAACAATAAAATAAAAGAAACATTCTAAAAATAAACAAAACAAAAAAAATAAACAAAAAAAAATTGAATATTCAAATTTAGATTTAATTTTAAGTCATTTTTAGATTTTCAAAGTAATTTGAAAAATAAAAAAAATTAATTAATTCTACAAATAGTAATATAAATTAATAACATAATAAGTAAATTTGAAAACTTCAAAAACACACTGTGTTTAAAATTTAAATTTAATAATTTATTATTATTTATAACAGCATTGTCAAAAATTAAATATGATTTAATAATTTTATGCAGTTGCTTGGTAATGGTAATACCCATACAAAATTGAACAACTTAAAATCAAGCTTCTTCATAAAGACCTGAGCTGATCTTGCATTCAAGTCATATTTTGACCTGTATGCAAAAATCACAAAAAGTAAAAGTAAACAAAGTAATGAATAAAACTGAAAAAAAGTAAAAAAATAATCAAATTAATTAGATCAAGCAGCACTTTTCTTTACCTTTTATTTATAATTTAATTGCAAATATTTAAAAAATAAAATATATTCAAAATTAAAATTTCTACAAAAACTCATTCATTTTAAAAATGAGAATTAGAGAACAAATTTAAATGGCTTAGTTCATTTGAGTTAATAAATTAAAAAATATATTTAAAAATAAAAATTCAAACACAATACTTCGAAATCTCATTGTTGTTAGGATCAAAATCTTGTGATAACTGAGTAATTTGTGTAGTAAAAATTCTACCTTCAAGTTGAACAATCTCCCCTAAAAATAAAAAAATATTCAGAAAAGGAAGAACTGTAGTATTGATTTATATTAGATAAATTTCTAAACAAATAAGATTCAATCTTAGTTATAAAAATAAATAAAATATATATTTATTTATATAAATATTGAAAAAAATTTTAGTCTTTCCAACTAAAAAGTTAAAGGTACAAACAATAGATTAGTATCCTGGACTTTCTTTCAGGAGGTTGTACAGGTTGCATTAATATTTGTGTGTTACATTTTTACGTTTGCATATATATATATATATATATATATATATATATATATATATATATATATATATATATATATATATATATATATATATATATATATATATATATATATATATATATATATATATGCAAACGTACAGATATAATACACAAATATTAATGCAACCTGTACAACCTCCTGAAAGAAAGTCCAGGATACTAATCTTTTGTTTGTATCTTTATATATATATATATATATATATATATATATATATATATATATATATATATATATATATATATATATACTTATATATAGATAGATAGATAGGTAGATATATTGATAGTAAAAAAAGTTTTACCAGGTAATCCAGCAGTAGGTGTAACTTTTTTTAATCTTGGTGTGCAACTATCTCGACGCTAAAAAAAAATTTGCTGCAAAAAGAACATAATATTTATATATATATATATATATATATATATATATATATATATATATATATATATATATATATATATATATATATATATATATATATATATATATATATATATATATATATATACATATATATATATATATATATATATATATATATATATATATATATATATATATATATATATATATATATATATGTATACATATATATACTTTCCATTTAGTTGATTTAAAAAATATACATGTAAGTAATTTTAAACACATCAGGTAACTAAATGCAATTTTAAATATATTCATGCATAAACATATAGTAATTTAAATTGTTTAAATTTTGAAAAAAAAAAAGAAAAACACAAAAAAACATTAAGTATCTTGGGTTGCATGAATCAGATAAAAAAATTAATAAATTAAAGTTTTTAGATTGAAAAATTTAATAAAGATCATGATAAATATATTAATTTGATCATTCATTAAAATGATTTAATCAAATCTTTTAAAACTTGCAAAGCAAATAAGTTACAAAAAAATTTGGCTATGATTAATCCTACTCTTAAAAATACGGGAATATGAAACAAATATGCTGGATAGAAAAAAATTAAAAAAAAAAAGAAAAAAAATTAAAAAAACAAACATAAAAATTAAATTAGAGCTAAATGTGAAAATGATTTTAGTCACAAAAATCTCAACTAGTTCCCTCTTGATTCAAGTAATTAATTAAAATAAAACAAATGCTAAAAATCAAAAACATTTTCAATACTATTTTAAATTAATATTTTAAATTCTTGTGATCTTTTTTATGAGAAAACTTATGTAAAAGTAAACATTTGATGGAACATCTATTCCATTAATAGAAAGTACAACTTTGTAATCAAATGTGGCTTCCCCATCAGCAACTTTGCTTAAATAATAAAAGAAATCTCAGATCCAAATTATAAATATAATCATAATATATAATTATAAATTTATAAAATCTATTAAATTAGAATATCCAAATTAGAGTTAAAAAATGTTATTAATAGTATAAGCCAGTTCAATTATTATGTAATTGATAATCTTAGTATTATTATTAAAAAAAGTTAGATAAATAATTATAAAAATACTCTGTTTCACAAGATAAAATTTCATGAATTGAGGCTGTAGCAACCATTTTACAGTAGTTCACAGAAAATGAATTTGTATTTATCATTTTCACTGTAATGGTATTGTTAGATTGATCAGGGAATTCTAAAGTGTAAAATAAAGTAGTTATAAATATTTTTCCTTCAAGTATCCTCTTTTTTAAATTAAGTTTTTAAAAAAACTATGTAACTATTTTAAAAAACATGTTGCCTTTCCAAACCCACTTTCCTAACCATATATAAATGTAATAATATTTTTAAGTAATATTGAAAATTTCAAATATTTAAACAATGAGTTTGCATTTTATGTTTTTATGTTTATTGTTATTAGGCCTCAATTAATTACACTTATTGAATGAATGCATAATTTACTCATCTTTATAAGATTTGCTAATTAATTGTAGAGTTGCAATATAAATTATTTTATGTTACTTTTCTCAAATGCTTTTTCCTTGAACATTACTCAACATATATTTTGATTAGCAATTATATACTTTAAATTTTTTCCTTTTTTTTTTTTTTTTTTTTTCGTAAAGTAGGTAAAAAACTTTTTCCTCTATTTTTTATTAAATTTCAAATGAAATGAATAAAACACTCAACTTATTTAAAATTAAAGATAAACAAGGTTTGACTTAAACTTTAACAACCTTGATAGGAAACTTAAAACAAAAATTTTAAAGCACTGTATAAAATACTACTAATGCAAATGCAAAATTTGTTTTTTAACTATAGAGGATATGATAAGTAAAAATCATCTACCACTGTTAAAATAGATACTTGAGAGTGGCACTTATGTACCAGAGTATGATACATATAATATAATACAGTATAGTTTAAATAAAATGTTTTTATAACGAAATAAGTGGTTTTAATTCAAGAACAGAAGATGGCACAGGCAAGGGTAAAACATTCAACCAGTTATTTTTTGAATTATTAGCAATTTTTTAACAAGTTGAATTACTTGTGTCAAGAAAATTTAATTAGCATTTAATTCTAAAGAAACAAAATTGTAAATCTATTCTATCACCATAAGTTAAGCAGTATATAACTTAGTATGTATTTAAATTTTCTAGCATTGCGTGTTATGTTGTTGCTATTGTTGTTTTGATGTTGTCAAGGAAATTTGGTTAAACGAATGAAAGTTGCTACTATCAAGTATTATACTATACTATTGGTATTATAAAGTCAACAAAGCTTTATTTAAATGGTTCAAAGGAATGAGAGCTGGTGTGCCCAATCAGCAGAGCCGCTGCTAGGCTACCCCTCATGGAAGGGGAAGGGGTGCGAATTTAGGGGACTTTTTGCAAATTTGAGGAGCTTTTTTTCTATGAAAATTATTAGACCATAAATCTTTTTTGTAGGTATGGTATCTCTGTTAAAACCATTTCTGGAAAGGCGAAGTCGATTAATGAGCAAATGATCACTCTATGGCTCGAAACTACGCTGTCTACAATTCTCTTTCGATACCCACTTGATAATATTTTTAGTGACATTTTTTAAAAATGTTTGCTTAATAAAATTTTATATTTTAAAGTGATTTTAAATTAAATAAATTTTTGCATGAAAATGAATGATTTTTGCTTGAAAATGAAAAATGCAACATAAAGTTTGCCTGACTGGGATGACTGCTGGTAATGTTAGAGGAGTAAGACTTTTAATCTTTGTAATTGAAAAATCGAAGTCTCCTATATGTTTCAAAGGTGTAAACAATATACTACCTCGTTTGCCAAACCTCTGACCAAGAAATTATCTGATCACTTAAAGCAAAATATCGCTAACATGTAGTGAAAAAGCAGACTGCTGCCTCATTATTAGAGATTATTCGAGGGTTGTTTTTTGCAAACAAAAGTAAGAAAATGGCGAGCACAATAAAGAGAGTCAACCTAATCTAATGTTAGCAATAGATTTTACATAAGGTTTACAATAGAGATCTTTATGAATGATAATCTACGAAAATATTAAGTAAAATATCTCTGTAAGTGTATTGTCATTCATTAATATAAGAGTATTATGTTTAAAGAAAAGTGCGGTAGCAGTAGAGAGCTTTCCTCATAAGCAAGAAATTTAGAGTTCGATCTTTACCATGTCTCCGGTAGAACTGCGCTTAACTCCGCGCAACGATTTTGTTCGTCAAGGTTCGTGTTTCGAAGTTACAGAGTTGAGAAAAGGTTGTAACCACAGCTAAAGTAGCTTCCTCAACTGTAGTAGCCTTCATGGCCTTTGGAGAGGTGAATTGAAATAATATAAAAAAAACTGAGTTTTGATTAAAAACTTGATGACTTTTGTTAAGACAGGAGTATATACTCTTGTATACAATTATATATATAGTTGCATCATCAGCAAAGAGAACCACTTATGAGTAAAAAATTTCAGGAAAGTTTTTTATAAAGTTGAGAAAAAACACAGAATCAAGGATAAAATCATGTAATACCCTAGAAGTTACTGGAAATTAAGAAGAGTGTTGGCTTTCGAGAAGGGCTTTGATAATACAATTTGAAAAGAATGATTTAATATTTCAAAGGTTTACTAAGATACGCCATATGAAGCAATTTAATCGAAATGATTAAAATGACAAACATTTCTGGAAAACCTTTGACATGTTAAGTAAAATTGCCATTGCTTCAACGTCTCCATATAATGTACAATTTTTCTATTATAACAACGAACAAGTCAGCAGTAGACGAGAGGAATGAGATCCATATTGAGCGTCAGAAAACTTGATTGGAACTTTTCATTTGCTTTAGTCCTGCTAAATAACCTAACAACTTTACAAAGAGTCCGTTATGTAAAACACCATCCATGCGGAACACAGCACTGTTAATACTCTGATATTTTACATTTTTTGATGGAATCAGCCTCTTTAAGATCTGCCGAAGAGTTCGTGATATACCATACTACCAGCCGGTCTCAGAACCATTTAGCTAAGTTTTAAAGTTATACTCTTATAAGGGAATAACATTTAGAGTTGTATAACCTAAATGTTATTTCCTTATAATATGTATTGAGGCATTATCTCAAGCCTTTTCTCAATCAAGTGCCCAAAGGCAGGGGTAGTTTTAGTCTTAAGTTTACTTAAGTTTTTCTAGCCTTTGTTCAAAAAAGAAAATTCTACATCGTAGCAGGTCGTCAGGCAGGTTATACTAATTACATGTTACCAGTAGAAGGGTGATCATAATAAACCTAAATTTGACCTTAGCTGAAATAGTTAAAAAAAGTTACTGTAAGCTAGAGGTGTACCGGATTGGAAACTTTGAAATCCGGCCGGAATTTTTTTGATTTATATGAAATATTTACTTTATTAGGCATCCTATACTTTTTAACTATTTAAAAGTTAAGAAACATTAAAAATGAGACTTTTGTCAGAGGCAGGTAACATTTTTGATAAAAAAAGAGCTTGTTTGTTACCCAAAACTGAATAGCAACTCTTTTTGCACGACAATATTCCTAAACTTTTAGAAATTTTTACATAAATCTTTACATAAGATTACTGTAAATAAAATAAGGCAAAGCTTTAGATATGTGGTCTAAAATAATTTAAATTTCACGCTTGTTGCGCTTTCGTGTGTAATTTTGCTCAAAGTGGTTACTTTTTAATATAAACATAATTTAACATATTAATTGACTTTAGCACACACTTCAACCATCTTACAGCCTGCTGCTACAAAGGAGTGCTACTACGACCATTATCTTATAGCCTGCTGCTACAAGGGAATGTTTCTACATCGACTTACTTATAGCCTGCTTCTACAAAGAAGTGCTGCTACATTGACTGAGGATTTGGCATAGGGCAGCTTTTTTATTTTATTATTTCAATTAAAATTTCTAATATTTAAAAACTCTCTACTAACGAGAGCGCAACA